GAGAGAGAGAGAGAGAGAGAGAGAGAGAGCTTATATAACAGCAGCTCTGGGAAATGCTGGAGAGCTGAGGAGACCCTCACCGGACAACAAAGCGGGGAAAACAGCGATCATCACGGCCGCACACTGATCGGTGGTCGGCGGCGTGAGGATGCCGTGCGCACCGCTCCGCCGCTGAAGGTAAGCCGCACGTCCGAGCAGCCGCTACTGTAAATGGTGGAGGCACAGTGAGGGCTTTAAGATGGAAGACCTCGGCTTCTTAAATAGGTGATGCGTGTTTACTCTGGCTGCTTGTTCACTTGTCTCCCAACCTTCCGTCCGTCGCACTAAATCAGAGCAGACAGTGATTTCGGAAGCGAATGCGCAGCGGGGAGTGATTTTATGCGTAAAAACGAGGAGTTGAGCATAACTTGGGCACTCGGACTTGATGGTAGACTGTTCATTGTGCAAACTGTTGCTTCCATCCTCGGGAGCACCACCGCACCCCTACTTTCCGTTTTTTGTGGGGGTGCAGTGAGGCCTGAGAGGAAAAGTAGAGCTGAAGGGCATGACGATGTGTGACAGTCACCAAGACAACGAGGCATTAACGGATATCATCGGATGTGAAGGAAGAGCGGCTGAGGAGGTGCAGACGTAGCTGTAGCTGCTGCTAAACCTGTATGTGCTGTAGGGGAAGCAGCAGAACCAACAGAGGGGCTCGTATAGGACACAGCCGTGACAGCAGAAACGGGCAAATCCACATGAGAGCAGGTCAGGGCTGCACTTCACCGCCCCTCTGCTCAGTCAAAGTGTCAGGCTCCGTGAAACCACACAGCTCCTCGTTATTCAGAGATCCTCAACGTCTCATCTTTGCATGTTTTTTTTCTCACTCATCACTTATTCATCTCTCCACAGATGAGGCCAGAGTTGGTCTGCATATGATAATCCCCATTTCATAAGCGCCGGTAATGCGCTCTCCACACAGTGTTTTTTTTAAATCAAATGATGTGATTTCACTGGCTGAGGTTGTGAAGCTGGGACATATTGCCTGTGTGAAAATAAAATGAATCCTGTAGTGGAGGACCTGAGTGAAATCACTGCACTGAAAAAGATTCCAGTTTAACAGCCAGATTATTAAAGATCCAGTTAGATTTTTTTTTTTAATTTAATTTTTGTTTTTTAAAGCTGCCCACACGCAGAAGAAATGTGAATTGTAGAGCACAACTTCAGGCAGGGCTTTGATTGAAAAACAAATGGCAGGAATGAAGGCAATGGAGCAGCAGACACTAAGGGATGTATTGCAAGATGCTGCAAGACAGAAACACAAGCCCATATGTCAACATGAGCTGTGCGTCTAATCCACTAGCCATACACTTCCCATCCCCTTGATTGTGCTGACATACAGAGAAATACACTCGTGCTCTAAATCCAGCTGCTTATGGGATTTTTTTTTCTGTTTTGTCCCTCAGCTTTCCCCCAAGGATCTCCCTGGAGTCAGGGAGCACAGCCGTGGATATTAAATCTCTCTCTGTTGTGACGCATCCATTGTTCCACTGCTGCTGTTGGACTTTGTGGCAGCAAAGGACCATGACGACGTGCACACACCACTGCTGGGTGCTGCAGGTCTCTACAAAATTATGAAGTAGGTTACAGATCTTCTCGCTCCTGGTTCGAGAAATGGCCTTCCACTGAGGTGAGAGACGCTACACGGTGTAGGAATGGTGGCGCCCCTCTACAAGCTGCACTGCCTCTTGAAGCGGGCTCAGATGCTGCTGCTCTGCCTGGGCATCGCCTACCTGATGGCAGGCAGCATCCTGCTCCTGCAGCGCTCCAGCATCAGAGTGGCCCAACCCAACCTCGCCAGCCTGCCGCCCCTGCTGTCCCTCGCAGCACCTCCCACCGCCCTCAGGACTACAGGCCTGGGCGTGAGGGCGCGCTCCAGATGGGCCTCCATTCAGGCTGTGTCCGGAGGGGGTGCCAAGGCCGGGCGGCACTGGCCCGCTTCCCGAAGCCTGGGGGTCCAACACTTGCACCGCCGCTGGTTTCACAGTCTGTTGCCAGAGAGTCCGGAGCAGAGAGTGTCTCTACACAGGAGCAGCAGACACAAAGGTAAAGAGCTCTACAGTCCTGACAGAGAGGCAGATCTGTGTCCATGCTGAGCTGTCCCACCTTTACTTTGCTTTTATATTAAACACTTTAGTTACAACTTCATCAGCACAACTGCAGCTTTCCTTATACAGCAAACTAGCCAGCAGGCAAATCGGCAAAGCAACCAGTGCTAAAATAACCATGTGACCACTGGCCACTGCGTGCCCTATTTACATTAATTAGAGTGCCAGCGAGGTGTGAACACCGAGGAAGTGATAGTCGGCTGAATGCTGCCGTTATCTAGCTGACCAGCTTCATGTGAACTAAAATGAAGGATTCTTCTCCAAGAGTCCAAAGACCTCTGCTGAGAATCTGAAGCTGTGATTGAACCAATTCAACAATCTACTTGTTGTCTGCCAAAGGACCTCTTATCTGACAGAGCCGTGGTCGTGCAGCCTTCTCACGTAAGCTAATATGGGTTTTAACAATTATTAACGGCCCTTCTATACCCGTAGCCAAGGTTATGCTCCTGTTCTGCCTTCAAACTACAGCAGATATTACAGAGAAAAGGCTCATGCTTGTGCTGTCTGAAATAGAGCAGTGGATGGGAGGATATGTGACTAAAATATCCTGGTGAGGATGTGTGGACTGAGACGGTGGTTTTCCTCGTGAATAATATATAAAGGAGCAAATATACAAGTTTGTTTTCTATTTTGTGATTTACTTTTTTAACTCGGCTAGCCAGGGGCTAAGGAAACACACTGTGCACAGGGCTCGCATCGCACACAACAGGCTTCATTCTACATTTATGAACAGATAATCATGACCTTAGAACATTTAGAGGAGCTTCATTATACATTTATATGACATTTTACGTGTGGGTGCTTCAGATGTTGTAGATGAGGGCTCGAGCTCACTGATCCACTCACAACCAGAGGAGGAGACGGCACGCAGAGCCAAAGTAGCTTCTAGAAAATAAATTAATAATTATGGAGATAAAAACGATATCATTTCTTGCTCTCTGCTAAGGAGCCTTCGCCATTACACGAGTGCTTTGAGATATCTCAGGAGATTTGGTCCATTGTTTAACGGTGCCTGTCAGCGCCTTTGCCATTTTGTTGAAATGATAAATACAATAGGATTAGCTCTGGTGGAACATTTGTTCTTCCAGCTCACTCTTGAAAGGCATCCTACAGGAGCTCTCAGACGTTACACGACCGCTCAGCCACGGAGCAGAGTTACAGATGAAAAATGTCCGAGGCAGCGATGAAGTCAGTTCTGGTAGCCGTCATTTGGCAAAAGTTCTTCTTTAAAAGTCTTACTCAGGACACGGAGCTAAATGACGCAGGTCTACTGTGGAAGAGTAACTGCTTAAAGGTTTCAGAAAAGGAAGCAAGAGCCCAGCAAAGCCTCCTGAAACCAGCCAGTGCCATCTGTCGCTGATGCAGAAACTATTAGTGAATTCATTGATTAACTGAGTATATGAAAGACAGATGAAGCCACAGTGACAGCCCTCCATACGTATGTGGACAACTGGTTTGAAGCCTCCAGTTTGGCATTTGGCTGCTGTCGTCTCACTCTTCTGAAACCAGAAATACCGAGCAAGGAGTGGATCTGACTGAGGCCAATAACACAGCAGCAACCGGTTAATGACGAGGTAGCCGTGCCCTAAAACGTCCCCTAAATGGAACTATAATTTAAAAAAACATGTTGCTGTATTCAAAAAGTCTTGAAGGTGGTGATTGAAGCCATAAACTCAGCAGGACAACAGCTGCTGAGGGAACAGATCAGGTGAGAAGCAGAATCGTTTTTTTAAGTTGTCTATGCAGGCCGACGTGTGCGCTGCCCCCTGCTGGCGCCTAGAAACAACGCAGGTATAAGTCACTTCCATGTTAACTGAGCTGTTCAGACCCAGAGTTTATCGTACGTACAGTCTTTGAACCAGACAAAAATCTAGTTCGGATAGCAGACAAGTGATTTAAATTAATGATAATTGAAGATCAACAGCTTGTAGGTCTGTTGGTTAAACACACCACCAGCAGCAGACTCTTAGCTCAGCAGGTGGAAGCAGCGTCCAGCCACCAGCGACCAGACTTTGACTCTGCTGACTTAAAAAAAAAAACTTCCTGAACCTGTGGTAGCCTGATCCCAGAAACCCAGCACTGCCCGAAAACTAGAACTTGTTGTTTTTACATCTGTATGGATTACACCACATCACCATGTAGGAGATGCTGCTAGATGCACTTCTTAGCTCTGACGAGAACCAGGCGAGCTGCTACACTGAGTTTCACTCTTGATGCTAATCGAAGCTAAAAGCTCCCTGCCATACTTACTGGCCAGTCATGAGAGGAGCCTTCTCATCTACCTCTCCACTAACATGACCAGGCCCCAGTATGATGCCACACTAATTCTATAAATAAATAACGTCTGCTGGCTTCTCAGACGTTGAATAAAAGCAGGAGGATGGAGAGCACAATGACAAGTGAAAGGTTTCGCTTCACCGTGAGTCAAGCAGAAAGGATAAGAGGCTAAATCAGGACAATCAGAAGGTGTTGATCCGACATTCGCTGTCATTAAGCAGCTCTCATTCATCCGACACAGTCTCACAGCAGAGCTCTCTGGACTAGAACCCAACAAACCAGCTGATTGTATCTGAATGGTTTAAAAATGTAATAATCGGTCAGTTGTTCCCACAGTGCTGCTAAACGGCCTTCAGCCCTCCTCATACAGCGTTCTCCTTTTGCTTTCCTTCAAGTCGTTTTCACATCAGCATCCTTTTTCCTCAGCGGCTGACAGTGTCCTCAGCTCTTTAATAGATCTATATGATGACACTGACAGACCTGTTAGCATACGTCTGTAGCGACCGACCCACAGGTGAGACGCTGCTTGTTATGAGGTCAAACACGTCCCTCTTTGGTATTTCTGCACAGCAAGTCCTTATTATTATTTATTGACAGAGCCATGTCGACATAACAGTCAGACTCTCCTGAGGACTAACAAAAGGTTGAAAACACCTAAAAGACTGTTCTTTGTTTGGTCTTTATCCCATCTGTATTCAGCGTCTAATCTCATACAGCAGTAATAACATTACACAGCCGGGTAGAGGAGTTTGCCCGTGCATTTTCATAGATTCAGGAGCCCTATCTATTCAAACATTTTATAATAAAAGTGAGAGATGCATAATACTTTGTGTCTGCTGCTGGAAACTTTGTGCCTCGCAGGGATGAGTCACAAATTCCTTGATATGTAAAGTACATATCAGAAGTATTACAAACCCAGAGATGTGCAGACGGATCAGGAGGAGGAAATGTGACAGGAGCTGCACAGTAGGACTCACACTCTACGTGTGGATTTTTATCAGATTAGATTTCTACTAAGTTTGTGTTGGTTCTCCTGCAAAATTTGAGGTGATTTGGTCGTCAGCGTTTACCTGCAGTCTCTGAGTGTTTCTGAGGATGTGAAACGCTGTTGGGATGATCCCCTCTGACCTGTCCTAGCTCAGCCTCTAATGCATTCAGACAGTCTTGGTTGTGCTTTTGATGACTCTCCTCACATCCGTGGGGATATTGTAGATCCAGCAGAGACACACTGAACCCCCTTCAGCCCACTTTAATGGACACACACAGTCACTACTCGTGGCAGTGGCACATGTCCTCATACTTGGCCATCCTGTCATTAGCCTCCTCCATCCAGTCCTGCGGGGAAGAATCAGCTCCAGCACAGCCATCTGTCTTAGTGTTTAAGAAAGCAGCACAGTGTCAGGCCTAAGTGCAGTCATTTCTATCATGTCTGGGAATTCAGGCTGCTTCCCTCCATTAACCCTCAGCAGCAGCTGCCTGGGGCCTTTCCTTCACTTTGATTAAAGCAATGACCTGCCCCGTTGGGTGGCTGAGGGGGGTAGGGGGGGCCTCACCTTGGGTGATGCCTCCTGAGATACCTCTCTCTCCACAGACGTTGGCAGCTCCAGCCTCTTAGTGCTTTCAGGCAGCAGCTGCTGGTGTTCTCCAGCGTTTGTCTCCTGAGGCGCAGGCGGCCGGTGACTCAGCCTCGCCCCAGCACGACAGGCTGGACGGGCTTCAGAGGACATCGCAGACTGATTGAATCACGGATTCGATATGGTGATGCTTGGCCTGCCAGAGATTTCACGGTCCATTGCCTGCTTCCATCTTGTCTGCGCACCTTGCTGCCACAAATCTTCAGCCCCAGTCGCATGTATCTCCTCCAATACTTTCTAAATCCTCTCTTTGACCGCTTGGCTGGTAGGAAACATATTAGGAAGCCAAATCCTCAGTGTCCTTGAACCCTGTAAAACATCTTCAGATACACAGCAGGAACTGTGAAATAAACCTAAAAGTCAGCGCTGAGGAATTATCTGCATGCACTCCATGCACCAACAGATATACTTCAACCCGTTGCCAGTGTACAGCTCCTGACTGAGAACACCATGTAGCATATAACCTAAAAATACACCCGTCTCAGACCCAAGGGGGAAGATGTAAATGAAGTCTGCACACAAAAGAAATGCATATGCTACCCTCCACGCAGAAACTGGTATTTATAAAGAGGACTTTTATGTGTCAGCTGAGCGGAGTTTGATGTGCAACGTGGCAAAGACAAGGATAACATCAAAGCAGGAATTTGGCTGACATTTTATATGGTGCCTTAATCTTGTCAGCACATCATAATAGTCTGTCATAGCCTATTATGCGTTACATCCTTCTTTCGACAGGGGTGATTTTTATTCTGGTGGAAGTAAATAGGTTCGAAGCAAAGTAGGAATAAGCATAATCTACACTGGAAGATAAATTAAGCCTTGTCATGTTATAAATTAGTTGGATATTACGGCTCACAATACATGCTGCTGTGCGTAATTAGCGTAAGTGAAGACGCAAAGGCTGCTTTGGCACCGCGGCTGTTAGAGAACGTGTCCAGAGCCAAACTAAAGACAGAGCAAGTCTGGTTTATGTCCAAATCAACTTAAAGAGGAGTGTGTCAACATCCATTTTCAGCTAACAGTGTGTGTGTGTTTTACTTCCCAAATGAAAGAGAATCCAGCTTTAAAAAAAAAAAAAAAAAAGGAATAAATCTGAAAATCAACCGTCTGTTTTGATAACATCTTCCTCTCTCTTTACGTCTGCGATGCACTCGGGTGCCGTATAAATACAGGACACTGTTATACTGGGTGTAATTCAGAGCTGCAAAGAGTGATTTTTTTTATAACTGATGAATCTGTCATTTATTTTGATTGATGTAATAAAACGTCGACTATTTCCTGGAGCCCGAGGTGACAGCTTCAAATTGCTTTATTTGGTCCAACGATCCAAGAGATGTCCAACATCAGAGAGAGACAGAGAGACAGAGGAAAAATTAAAAACTCTGGTGATAAGCTGGAAACGTATTACTTAAATAATGAAGCAATCATTTAAATTACTTTCAGTTTTTTTGTTTTTTCGGCCAACTGATCAATTACTCGACTACGAAAACACACTTTGTACTCGACTGCCTGGGCTTGGTGAGGACACCGTCTGAACGCCGCGGCGGGGAACTTTTCAGCCTGAATGAATTTTAATCTCACTTCTGTTGACACGTGCAGGAACTTACATCGGATGCTTCCTGCACAATGCCAGCGACCGGGCCCTGGGAGGAACCATGCTTTATGACCTGCGCAAAATGACCAGCTCTCTGTGTCAAGACACCTGCTCGGAAAGGTAATGCATTCACGGAGGGCTCCTGTGAGGGGACCACAGAAGGCCCGCTGTGTGAGTAAACGCTTTGGATCTCAGTCTCCTCCATGAATGCCTCCTGTGTTCGGAGCGAGCCGAGAGCCAGGTGGCTGGATGACAGTAAAAGATGAGGGGGGCCGAGAGAGGGGAGAATGAAGAGCAGGCCAGGACAGAAGGCTTGATCTGTTGCAGAAAAGGGAAGGAGGGAGGTGTGTGTGAGTGTCGGAAAGCTTAATGAGCTGACTACAGCAGTCGGTGAATAAATCAGCGCTAGATATGTGCTTTTCCTGTGGCCGGGGTGTGAAAATCTCTGATTGGGTCGCTGTGGGCTTGAATTAGCAGCACTGATGTGACACTCGAACAAACCTGTGAGGAAAGAGGCAGGTGGAATTCTTCAGACTCAAAGAATGACCCGCTTGAATTATTCCTTTTTATATGCTAGCAGCGAGGAAGCGTCGTAGCCCCAGCGAGACAGAACAGCAGAGGACAGATGGATGCAGTCAGACTGAGAGCTTCCGTCGTAGGCTCGCGCACAAACCCGCCCGTCCGCCCGTCCGCATGGAAGGCAGCCCAGCTCGTTACCTGAGCGAGCCAATTACCGCGATGAGCAAAAGTAAAAAGTCAAGGCAATTTATGAGGAAGCTTCAAAGGACATACATGAAAAGGTCAGTTTTGATGAGGTCTCTGTCTGTCCCAAGGAGGCAGGATAAAGGGAGAGGAAGGGGGATGAGTCACAACAGCCTTGATATGTAAAGTACAGATCAGAGGTGACTGCAGTTCAGCCAGAAGAAGGCATTACGCAGTCAGAGGAGAAGCACCGACAAGCATCACAGGGGATACTGTACATTTAGTGCTGGGAAGTTTGAGGTAAATGATAAGTTTAAAACGCTGCCCAGCGTCCTGCGGGATGGCTTAGCCTGAGGGCAAGAGCTCGAGGTTATGGATCGCCCTTGGCTAGGGCAATAACTGTGTGTCCATCTGTGTGTGTGTGTGTGTGTGTGGTTAGTGGGTACCAGTTTGCAGGTCTGGAGTACGGCGCCGAGTGCCACTGCGGGAATCGGATCAGTAGCCCACGGGCTCCGGAGGAGGATTGTAGTCTGGTGTGCCGGGGTGAGAGGGGGTCTCCCTGCGGCGGCGTGGGCCGACTCTCCATTTACAAGGTGGAGGAGCAGCTGCCAGGTCACAGAAAATGTGAGTCAACTTCCCTGAGGGGAGACACGGCACGGTTTGCTATTTATTCTCTGCTCAGGCTGCACTGGGGGTGACTGCAAAGAAATAACTGAACTTCTTGAACTGGAATTCTTAAAAAAAAAAAAAGAGCTGTCAACAGGATGTCAGTGAAAACTCAGCCGTGCACTCCTCACACCTACACATGTAATCATGTCAGCAGATAAGTTTGGTTCCTCTCACACAGGGGTCTCCAATCCTGGTCCTGGAGAGCCACAGTCCTGCATTGTTTGAGATGTTTCCCTCTTCCATCATCAAGCTCTGCAGAAGCCTGATAACCATCCTGATCATTTGAATCAGGGGAAACATCTAGAACATGCAGGACTGTGGCTCTGGAGGACCAGGACTGGACCCCCCTGCTCTAACACCAGTCAAACGTGCAGCTGAAGCCTTAAAGATGCAGCGTATTCTATTTCTGTCAGATCTGTTGCTGTCCAGAAACACATCAGAGCCACACTGTGCACTGGGCGACACGTTCCTACAGTACAATGAACTGTAGTTTATTATGACTCAGGCCCACACTCACCACCCTGCTGCTGGGAATTCTCCTCCGAGTCGGGTCAGCAAACGTTCTAAAGCTCAGCCTTCTAGAGGGCGTTTTTATTATATTTATCCTTGTTTGGCTGCTTTGTTATAAATGTTGGAATGATTTTCTCTGTTTAAATGGCAAATATAACACAAAGAAATGAATGAGTAAATTGGCAATCAATGAAAATTAAAGCAACAAATGAATAAATTACTGAATAAACACTGAGAATGCTGTTTGTGAAGTTAGCTAATGAAAGGAATGGATTTACTGGAAGCCTAACGTTCACTGTGAGCGTCCTTCAGTCAGGCCGAGGGCTGAGACGTGTCGGCATCTCTTCAGCCGATGTCTAGAGTGTCTCCATGGCTGCTCTGACAGTCATTGGACCTGTCTGATGTGCACCTGGTGCTGCTGCATCACTGAGACATCTGTCTGAGTCTGAGCCGCACATTTATCGAGCGGTTCTGATCCGATTCAAAATATCACAGAAACATGTTAGTTATTGTAAATGCTGCCTGCTATTTTTTTAACTTTTAAAGCTGAAACAAAGCTAGCAACGCCACTGACCCACTTAGAAAATCAGAGCTGGAAATGTGTACAAATCCGAGGCTGGATATAGTCCCAAACAAACGCACTATTTACTCCTGTGTACGGCAGCGCGCAGCTGTTAATCTATTTTTGTGACATTAAGTCGGTAAGACCGGATAGACTGAGTGCCGTAGACATGAGGCATAAATACTGATGCTTTTGCTCTTAGTGTTTGCTCACGGTAGAAAACATATCAGCCAGCACTGTGTTGTGTGAGCATCTCACTTCCTCGAGCAAGAAGATGCTCTAAATGTCGGCAGCAGAGGTGAGAGGAGCCGTCTGACAGTGACTGTGCTCTGTCGTAGCTCCACTTTATGATTATGGCTGATTAGGCATAAAATCAGGCTCCAGCTCGTCATTTGTTTAGCGTGGAGTTCATTTAGTTTGTGTCACAGATGATGTCACATTATCTCAGCAGATCATAAGACTAATTCTGATAGATGATCTCTAACTGAAAAGTGTCTTCAACCTGCTTTGCTTGTACTTCTGTACAGTCCTCGTTGTTGTGCTGCTGTATTCTGCTTTTAAACATTCTTTGAGTGCATTTCGTTCGCTCTGTTTTGTAGTTAAGCACTTTGCAACCACGACTGAAGTGAACTAATTGCGCGCTGACCTTCACGATAACTTTGACGCATTCAGTAGCGCTGATTATCCACGGATTCCTCCTCTTATAAAAAAAAGTGCTTTCAGTTCTTTAAAGATATGCGCCCCCATCCTGTTGTTGGCAAGGTCGAATCTATTATATAAGGAGTACATAATCATAAACAGTATTAATATTCATCATTGGAAGCTTCAGCCTCTCTGGAGATTAGCAGCTGAATTCTGAATGTATTATACAAGGTACCAGGATTCAGTCAAGTATAGTAAAATAATTACTGCTCACACACTCAGACATATCTCAGGCTTGCCCTTGATGGTATATAAATAACTGGAAGTGCAGTTCTCCACCAAGGCCAATGACCTATCTCACAGTTTTACAGGAAGTGATCTGGACCTGTACCAACATGTACCGGGTTCTCCCGTTGCCCGCCCATGCTCCACCTCTCCACCAAGTCCCATGAACTTCTGCCTTGTGGTTTTTGTCTAATCCTGCTGACGGATAGAAAAATATTTCCTTAAGCAGGCCAATGCAGAGAAATCCTGTTTTTTAAGGCAGCTATTGCTCAACGTGTGTGTTTTTCTCTTTCCAGTCAGAAACGTTCACTACCGCGGCTGCTTCAAATTGCCAAAAAGCATCATCACCACCTTCCCCATCGACTCCTTTCAGCCCAACCTAACCACGCAGTCCTGCATCGAGACCTGCACTGATAAGGTTAGGACTGCTTCTTCTCTCAAATTACAGACCTGATGATCAATTCATTGCACACACCAGCGTATCGGCGCTTCTCCTCTCAGAGAGGGTAGACTTCCAGCTCAGAGAGCCGTCTCCTCTCCCAGGAGATCACATGTGGAAGCGCAGAGCTTCTTGGATTCTGCTGAATATTTAAGGTTTAATGTGGCTCTAATGAGAAGTGGGTAGTCTGGATTCTGCACTGAGATCTTACTGGGTGCAGCTGTGTCTGCTCTGGAAATGGAAATGGCTGCTCGAATGATTGCACATCACCTAGCACTGACTGCAATGTGATTAATTCTGGCCGTGTAGTGTGTGAGTGTGTGTGTGTGTGTGTACGTGCATGTGCATGTATGCATAACTTTTCTAAAAACTCCACTGCAGCGTCCTCACGCTTTGACATTAAGCATTTGACCTTATGGAAAAGTGGGACTAACATACTGAAGCAAAGTGAAGCGTGGACCGGGGATGTGATGCCGACCCTCCTGCTGCACGGAGCTGACACATCACCCTCGGCTGGAACAGAAGTCTTTGGAGAGAAAAAATAAAAATCAGCATGATGAGTCATGGAGAACATTTGTGCCTTTGGTTGGTAGGAGCTCCCGCTGGCTGTGTTCAGGAAGCCCCACTGCTTCTGCACATGGACGTCGTCTCTCTTCAGCCTCACCCAGCAGTCGGACGACCAGCAGTGTGCCGAGAACGCTGCTCTGAACCACACCGCCACCCCTGCACCCGCCGCCTCCGCAGACCACTACCAGGTGTACCACACACCTGTGCTGGGTAAGGTGTTCTGTTGTACGGATGTGTGTCGTCGTCTGCACGGGTCTTCCAAATGCTGAAACTCATTGTGATTTGTTTTGCAGAAGGAGCGGGACAATGTGAACATTACCAGACTATTTTAAGCCCATCCCACTCTGCCATGTCAGTATTCTGTCCACGTCACACACACCGTAGCTAAAGCTCCAGCCTACTGTAGAAACAGCCCCTGATTAAACCAGTCCAGACCCTGGTGCTGGGGGGGTTGTGTTCTTGGGGGAAGTCCACTGAGCCACCATAGTGGGAATCACACTTGGAAGCAGTGTTCATTCTAAACCTCCACAAACCTCATCTCTTCTCCTGCAATCATGTTTCCACCTGTTTCACATGAGCCTGTTTCTGTTCCTTTTGTCCTACAAATGAATCCATCTTGGACTCTCTGCGTCCTCCTTTCTGATTTATTCTGATCTAGTGCAGATGCAACTGTCCTTCTAGATTCCAGGTGCAAAGAGAGGATGTTTCTGCCTCAGAGGTCCAGCTCCCTGGTGGCTCTTTCTAGTTTCCCCGGTGCAGGCAACACCTGGGTACGGCACCTGATTGAGCTCGTGACCGGCTACTACACTGGCAGTTTCTATTTCGACGGCACGCTGTACAACAGAGGTGGGGAGGGCTCAGTGCCGCCGCTGAAACGAGTGTTTGAGCGAGTGCCGGGTGAAATATCGCCCTGCAGCTCACCATTATCCATTCATTTATTCATTGGTACCAGGTTTCAAAGGAGAGAAGGACTACTGGAAGAGCGGCCGCAGCATCTGCGTAAAGACCCACGAAAGCGGTCAGAAAGAGATTGAGATGTTCGACTCTGCCATTCTGCTGATTCGAAACCCTTACCGCTCCTTAATGGCCGAGTTCAACCGCAAGTGTGCCGGACACCTGGGACACGCCACGGACGCACAGTGGAAGAGTAAAGGTAATGCAGTCCAACAGCACCGGGTGGTTTATGAGTCTGCTGAAGGCTGCTGTAGTCACCGCTGCATAATGTCCTGCTGTTGGTGTTGCAGCAACAGCAGGCGAGAGGTCGGCCACTGATCGCCACTGTGAGTACACCACGGGGCAGTTAGGCTCTCCTGTTTACAGACAGGTCAGCACTCTGGAGCCCTTTAATGCCGCGATCACACCCTGCACATGCTCCCTCTGAAAGGTTTTTTGATGGACTCGGCTTCCATGATGAGTGTGGGATGTCCATAGGAGTCACACATCTGATATGTTGTTATGCAAAAGGAGGCACAGACTTTATCTTCAAAAGAGTACAGCATATTTAAAAGGTCAGTTCACACAAATTAACAAAAAAACAGAAAGCCTTTTCTCACTAGCTGCAGCTCTGGTGGTGTCTGCCTGGCAAACAGTTTGGGTTTTAAATAGATCTCCACGTGGCTTCATCACAGCGCCGTGGAGGTGATGGGAACAGCTGTCATGGTGCTCACAGCGCTGAAGAATTACATTTGAAAGACTGAGAAAAGTTGTTTTTAGGAAATATTTCTTCCAAACAAAATTGTCTCCATGAAAACTGTTGCCAGCATGTTCTGTGGGTAACGCAGAGTACTGATGGGTTTGGACTGAACCTACCGCTGTGGCCTCATGCTGATGAACTACAGCAGTGACCCTGCACTACAACACGTCAGGCTAAAACCAGTGAATGCCACTAAAACAAAGACATTTAAATTCTAACACAATTCAGTCCAACTTTGTGAGAAGCTGGATGTGTTGTCACCTGCTCATCACCAGACTGCTGCTGGCAGCTCTTTCAATAAACAGTCAATTCCACCGTTACATGAAATCCTCATATCTGCACGCTAACAATGCACCAGCCGTGGTCCAGTGCAGACGGCTGTCTGATGCACACGCTGCAGAGTTCTTGCTAGCTGGGCTGGCTGCTCCGCTGACGTCTGCTTACAGTGCTAGAAATGTATAGTCGCTACCTCATGGCAGCAGAGCAGAGCAGTTGATCTCTAGAATACTTAAAGGTCATTTAGCTTTGTCGTAACAGATTGAATATTAGTATTTAGAAACTAAATGACCTCAAATCACACTCACACAGATGACCATTGGTTTATGTGTAGTTTGGGTGAACTGAGCCTTTAGCCCACGTAGCTGCTGTGAGGTCACACAACCTCCTTAAACTCTGTCTCTAATTCCACCTCGTCAACGAGGAAACACTGAGAAACTAATTCAGAATAACACCCAGTATAATAATGAACCTCCACTGTGACCTCTTCCAGAGTGGCCTGAGTTCGTGTCCAGCTACGGGCCCTGGTGGGCGTCCCACGCGCTGAGCTGGCTGAAGTTTGGGCGCCGCCTGCTGGTGGTGCACTACGAGGAGCTGCAGAGAGCTCTTCTGCCACAGCTCCGTCTCATCACTGCCTTTCTGAACGTCACCATGACTGAGGAGAGGCTGCTGTGCGCACAGAGCAACCAAGACGGGCATTTCAAGCGCTCGGGGAGCCTGCGGCCCTCCTTTGACCCATTCACTCCCGACATGAGACACATAATTGACTCCTTCATTCATACTGTTGACCAGGCACTGCAGAGCAGGAACTTTAGCGGACTTCCACAGGAATACCTCCCCAGATGATGACCTGAAAAGGTCACACAGGTAGTTCTTTAAACGGCTGGTTCAGCAGGGGTCTGTGAAAGGGAAGTTCTTCACCAAGTGCTCCACGGGGAACAGACACATGCTGGCTGATGGAAGTGGCCCACCCAACTCTTTGATAAGGCAGGAGCCCCGTGAATGGCTGAGGAGTCCCGACACACATTAGAGGTCACTGGAGAAAATATGACAATTCATTGTGAAGTCCAACGGTGAGCGGCGCTGAAAGCCTCGGGCCGGGACCGCCTCTCTGAGAGCAGCAAATATGACAAATTCTCAGAGAGGATTTGACGTGATTTGTTGGCCTGCAGAGTTGGGATTATCTAGCAAAGTGCCCGACTGCACAAACATGAGTGTGTAAATCCAGGATAGACTCATTTCGGTTTTCTCCGGCTCTCTTTGTAATTTTGCTTTCGCACATACGTTGTGTTTTCATCGACCTCTGTTAATAAAATGACCAGTTGTACTAACACAGACGGCAGAAGCTCAGAACCATGACCTGGATCGCTCAGTGTGAACCCACTGGCTGCTACAGGTGTGCGGTCGTGATGGATCAGGGTTCTGGCTGGAACGCTCCACGTCACTCGTCTGACTGTACATGAACTCAGATATGTGTTGATCATGATGAACCTGCTCTGATCTGTATATGAACTCCACCTGTTTCTATGAGCATTCTGTTTCATTAAACGCATTCAGTTTGAAACGAGTCGAGCTCTGGTTTGAGTGGAAATGTGTTTTACTTTAAAGGTAGCACTGCAGTGTATTTAGCAGAACTCAGAGACGATAGAGGCACAGATTTACAACTCTAATTATTCCTGATGTGCACCCAAAGAACAGTGCCCCCTGGTGGTTACACTTAAAATAGTGCAATGAAACAAGCTGTGCTGCTTCAGACCAGCGAACATCTGCATTCATTAACTGCATTTTATTTTTTTATAAAGTACAGACATAAAAATGACTAAATGCCTTGGTGGTCTAAGAGTCAGTGTGGATGCCTGAAGTGCAGATCTACAGACAACATGCAGGATGTTAGCAGGTAGATGCTGTTAGCGCACACACATCCGTCACCATCATGAACACATGTATGAAACAACTCTGTGCAGCAGTCTGCAAACAGCATCCACCCCGATGAAGACCAGACTTCTGCCTTTTGCTAGACACTGTTTCATCGCATCTCATCTTATTTTAATATCAAGGACGTGAATATAATGAATTCCTGGAAAACACAATAAACTCGGTGATGAAAATGTAGCATACAGGTAAATCAGCAGCTCTCCGTCAACAGCAGCGCAAAATGAAAGTTTCACAAAAGGTGTGATTCACTGCAGGCAGGTAGGCATTGTGACACAACAAAGCACCGCTCCCAGCAACGAGCCACAAGGTCGAACACCTCCTTCTGTCACAGATACAGGTAAATCCTACATCACAATCCAATCCCCGCATGCACGAGCTGGTTCTCAATCCTGCTGGATCACCGTAACAAACATCTCCTCAGCTGCTTCCTAGAAGCAGGACCTCTTCCTCGTCTGCGCAACAGCAGATAAGGCCATGCACACCTACCACATACATCTGAAACAGCCTGCAATACAAACAGAACGTAGATACGAGGCGGTGCAGAGCGCTGTCCATGCAGGAGGAGAGAATTACTATCTACATAACAAATGAAGGGATACAGAGGAAGAATGAGGGCTGCGCTTATTAGTGTGCTAAGGATCACAAACTCCATCTCGAACCCTGAATAGTGTTATCATGTCATGTGACAATGCTATGACGTATAGCCCGACGC